CTAACTCATTCTACAGTCTAGGATTTGAGCTAAAGCTTATTCTACTGAGTACATTGTAAAGAATGTTATATTACAGGACCCATCAAATATTCCGCTATTCATTTTTACGGAAAAGTATTAATTCAAATATCCAAAAAAAGTTTATGAACAAATTTTAGCTGTAAAACATTTATGTATTTAATATATATATATATATATATATATATATATATATATATATATATATATATATATATATATATATATATATATATATATATATGTATATATATATATATATATATATATATATATATATATATATATATATATATATATATATAGAAATATATATATATATATATATATAGTAATATATATATACATATATATATAGTAATATATATATATATATATATATATATATATATATATATATATATATATATATATATATATATATATATATATATATATATATAGATTACTAAAAACACTTATCTAGATTTTTCTTCAACTTGTTTCTCCATTAATAGGTTTATCAGGAAGAATGTCTAAACATCAAAAAATACAAATTATAGAAAAAAATTTCATAGGATGTTGGGAATTGTTATAATTATTTATGTAATAACTGCAGTTATTTTTCAACCAGATAGTTGCATCAGCAACATTAAAAAAATAAAAAAATAATTATAAAAAGAGTACTTTAGAATTAGGATAATTTTAGTTCGGTCATTTGTTTTTATAACTTTTTAAAAGGTACTTATTTTTATTTCTGCATTTAGAATTTAATTCAGAATTTTTGTTTATTAAGTTTTCTTGATCTAATTAAGTAATAATTTCAAATTTTTTTTGTAAACATAGTATACATTTTTGGAAACGTTATTATTGGCAGGCGCAGTTTTTAGAGTAAACCAGTTTAATCTAAAATTAATATTTTTTTTCTTTTAGTTACTAAATATATTTTGACAGCATATTCTCTTTTTAGTATTTTTTTATGTTTAAATGATTGTTTGTGGTTGGCAAAACGTTGTTTGGTGAGGAAGTAATGTAGTTGTAAATAATATTTTTTGATAAACATTTGCCATTCATAGGGCAGTCAATTTTTATTAACAATTAAAATTTTTAGTATATTTTAAATATATATATATATATATATACATATATATATATATATATATATATATATATATATATATATATATATATATATATATATATATATATATATGTATATATATATGTATATATATATATATATATATATATATATATATATATATATATATATATATATATATATATATATATATATATATATATGTATATATATATATATATGTATATATATATATATATATATATATATATATATATATATATATATATATAAATATATATATATATATAAATATATATATATATATTTCAATTTAAAGATTTTTAAGTATTTATTAAGAACTAAATTTTTTAATACTTATGTGGTCCTGGACCACCGTGAATTGCCAGACTTCATGTAACAATATTATTTGCGTTTTAAACTTTGTTTGTATTGTATTTAAAATAGTAACACAAAATATTAATACACATCTGGTTTTGATATTTTTTGTTTGTTTGTTTGTTGTTTGTTTTTTGTTTTGTTTTTATTTTTAATATTTATTTTGATGTTTAACAATAAATAACTAAGGAAATATATAAACAAGAAGGTAAAATTTGTCCGTAGAACAAAGAAGACAGTAAAACCTTGTCAACAAGCACTGTTTTTGTATATACAATATAAAATACAACGTTTTCTTTTTACAATGATGTTTATAAAATAAAGAGTTAAACAGACAGAGGCTCAAAGAGGATAAAGATGACAATACGTTATCGCAATCTTTTTATAGAGCCTCTATATGCACTTTCCATAAATATAGATATTAAATTAAAATCCTAATGGGAATGAAACTACTGCACTTATCAGTAAATCAAATAAAGATAAAATGTAAAAAAAAGTTAGAAAACAAATAAAATTCTTTTGTGATTCCTTTAAGCAAAAAAGATTCTCAAATTTTAAAAATTTCTTTTTTTATTAGAAACTTAAATGAACTTAATGACTTTGCCATACATTTAAATCCTTTTTGATAACTATTCTATATGTTTGGTCCTCGATATGCAATGCTATATTCAATATATTTATTAAAGTTTTGAGGCAATTTATATGTGTTACTTATATTTGCTCTTTGAATATAGTTTTCATTTATGTTTATTCTAAACTTATTATTAAAGTTTGCACAAGAGATATTATTATTGAACTGATACATAAAAAATAAACGCAGATAGATATTTATTGCAAAAACAACCATTATTTTCATATCTTTCATTATAGGTTTAGCATGTTCACGCTTATTTTTATAGTAAATGATTCTGCACGCATATTTTTATAGACTATAATTTTTTTTAACTTTTAATGATTCCGTACTTGCCCGTGATACGTTTGCATAGCTGATGAAGCAATGAATTCGTCCAAAGTAAATTAGTTTGAGACTTTGTTAATTGATATATGAGCGAACTCGATACATCATACCAATTATATTCGTTATTTTAGATTGAATCTAACTTATTTGTGGAAGCCAGAATAACTTCTCATCAACAAGAATTCCTAAGAACCTAATACTGGCTTGTTTTTTGATTAAATTATCATTTAATATAAGGTCAGGCAACTAAAGAGGAAGGTTTTCTTATGTTTTTTTGTGGAATGATATATAGTTTGTATTTTCTGTGTTAAGTGAGAGTTTGTTAGCCCTAAACCAATTATATACTTTATTTAGTTCAATATTCATATCTGCATATAACATCTTGATATCACTGTTAGTAAGAAATAGATTTGTATCATAAGCAAACATGACCGAATTCAGTTTTAAAGATGCATTGCAAAAATCATTTATATAAATTAAAAACAGGAGTGAACCGAGGAGAGACCTTTAGGGGACTCCACAAAAAACATTTTATACTCCAGATTGTATATTACACACATATTGTTTTCTATTGGTAAGATAACTTTTAATTCAATTGTAAGTTTTATTAATTATACCATAGTGCTTTAGTTTATCTAATATGATGGAGTATCAACTGTATCAAAAGCTTTTAATAATTTGATAAAAACTCCTAAAGTAAATTTGTTTTGTTGAAAGCCATCAGTTATTTGATTAACTAATTCAATGATTGCATGCTCTGTTAAAAGGTTTTTTTGAAATCCAAACTGGTTTGGGTAAAATAGTTTATTTTTAGTGAAGTGATTATAGATTCTATTATAAATTACACGTTCAAAGTGTTTTGAAAATACCGAGAGTATTGATATAGGTCTATAGTTGGTTATGTCCGAATGTTCATTAAATTTAAATATAGGGATTATTTTTGCTATTTTAAGGGCATCAGGGAAAATTTCAGATGTTATTGAGAGCTTAAGTATATGGATCAGAGGTATGCTTAGACTAGTTTTATTAAAGACTATATCACTATATAAACTATATCACCTGTTATTTCATCAAATCCTGGTATTTTCTTTTTTTTTAACCCTTTTGATACCACTTGTGGATTAAGACATCTAATCCGAATCTTATGTTATGTTTTATTTTCTATTAGATACCATATTAAGAATACATTATTACTTTATTTCAACCTCTCCCCGTTGTCATAGAAATAGGGGTGACTTACATGTCCCGACAGTAATTTCACGGTATAAAGTAACCAAATTTAAAATTTTTTTTAAATTTAGTTACTTTATACTGCTTTAATTTTTTTAAAAGTTTTGTAAACAAAAAAACTGTTTTTTAATAAAATTGATTTCAAATTTTGATGAGGTAAGCAACTTTGGATGAGGTAACTGAGGAGTGCATGTATTAATATGCCATCTATCTTTTACCCCTACCCCTCCCACCCTTCTTTCCTACCTCTACCAATCGAAGTTATATGTATTTTTTCAATTGTACTTGTTAAGATGTTTCTCATTAACATATATTCAATTTTTTTTTTTTTCATTTTCGGAACCTTATATTTAAATGTAGCAAAGTTTAAAAAATAATCAAAATTAAAAAGCAATCATTATCAAAGACATATACTCATTTTCTTTATTACAAAGCAACGAAACAATATCAAAAGTCAACATTAAATAAAAAATACAAATAGAAAAAAAAAATAATTTTAAAGGTTGTGATATTCTAGAAAACATTTTTTCCTTTTTGAATGCAGAGGAATACTTTGCAGGTTTCATAATAGCTATATGTTCTTGATTCCTGCTTTTTTTTAGAACAAACTTCACACCGTGCCCTTTTATATCCAAATAAAGGCCAATGAACACCTCTGCTTACTAAACGTACACAGTCTGTAGCATAATATTTGGCTTTTCTTCTTTTTTTAAAAGATTTAGGTAAACTTAGTGCGCGACTAATTTTAGCAGGACGACCAAGTGTTAAAAGTCCTAATGTAACATTTCGACAAAATAACAAGCTTGTAATTTTTAAATTTGTTACTTTACAATATATAATATATGTATTAGTTATTGCTCGATCTATGAGCCCAAAAAACAACCTGTGCCACCATTTAATATTTTTTCAATCTATGCCATAAATGGAGCAATGAAAATCAGCTTTGTCAACTCCTCCTATATTTTTATTCTAAAAATTTATAGCTTTCGGACATTTGAATATCTTTATGGAACCATCTTTCTGTTTTCGTTTAATTTGTTCTTCTTCAGTTCATGGTAATTCGAAATCCATCCATATATATGCAATAATATCATGGTTAGAAACGCGATGATCATAATCTCCTCTTGTAAGATCTTTGTCACTCAATAAACCATTTGGTAAATATTTTCTATATATCTAATTGTTCCACAACATAGCACATTTTGCTACAGCAAATACTCCGCAAGTAGAACAGACGAGAAATAACTGTCAAAAAATACTTTATGGTTTTTGTTAAATAAGTCATTAGTGAGATATAAAACAACTTTTTCACCAAGACCAAACAATTAGGTATATCTATTTTTTCAGTTTCACCATTCTTTCCTTGATATATATTAATTTTGAGATGTAGCCATCTATATCAGCACGTGCCCATATTTTATAACCTCTTTTGATAGGTTTCATAGGGTTATACTGATTCAAAGAACTTCTATCTTTAAATAGGACCATGCTTTCATCAATACTCATATACTCTCTTGGGTTCCAAAGTTTCATAAAATTTTCATTTAATTTGTCGATAAAAGGCCTGATTTTATATAGTTTATCTGTGTTATTCGAAGGAATAGAATTATTGTCGTTTGAATGAATGTTTCCTAATATTTGTGAAAATCTACTTCTTGAAAGAGAATTTGAAACGAGTGAAACATTTAGGTCTTGCGAATTGTTCCAATAGCACGATAAAGATGGTAAACTATGGTAACCCATTAAAATAATAATACCTAAGAATAAAAATAACTCATCCATTGAAACTGAATACACTCTTTTGTGTTTTTGGTTGGTATACAAATTGTTTTCAAGCAAAATTTTATCTCTTATTTTAGTATCAAAGAAATTTAAAACATAGTCTTTCTCATCATGGCAATTAATAAAAGAAATAATGACAGATCCTTCTGGTAAACAAAATGTTGATTTAAGTTCTGCTTTATCTTTTTTCATCCACAATCGTTTTTCATTGATTTTGAATTCTTGGCCATGAGCTGTATTACTTTTAGTATTTAAAACAGTCACATTTTAACTTTATGTTATTTAATTTCTAACACATCTTCATACATTGATAAAAAATCTTCTTCTGTAGGTAAATTATCAACTTTAAAGTCAAAAACATCTTCATCACTTTCTTCAATTTCTGTATCAGTTGAATTATCTAAAGATATATTTTCTTGCATTATCAATGCAGCCACTTCTTCAGCAGTGTATGTTTTTTTAAACATTATAATTAATTACTAGTTTCAATAAAAAACAATAAAACTTTCTCAAAGTTTGAAGAGTAAAATGAAATAAATCTTAGAAATCAGAAATTTATGACAGAAAAAAAATTATTTAAAAAAAGCTCTCGGGGCATCAAAGTCCCAGTTGTAATTTATCAGTTATCTGTAGTTCAAGTAATATATAGCTTAAAAAAAAACAACTTTAACATGATTTAGATAGACCAAAAATTATAACAAATAAATATAAACTCCTAAAATTTTTTAACAAGGCTGTAAATTTTAATTACAAACCACAACACTTTACCAACATTCAAACGCATCAAACACCAAAATCTAAAATGGTTAGAGATAATGAAAAATAACTTTGGTGAATGAATCTGTTTTTCCCTTGGTTGTAAAAATAATAGACAAGATTGACCGCTAACATTTTAATGATCAACAGGTATAACTATAGATTATAAATTAAAGTTTATCTGTCGGGACTCCTATGTCCCGTCGGTATTGAAAGGGTTAACGAGGAAAAGACTTCTTCCAATTCTTTAAAGTTGAATTCATTATCGTACATGACAGCATTAATTGTGGGTATAATTAGTTTTTAAATGAATCAGATTATGGACTTATTTTATTAGCAAGATTTGGACCAATATTTATAAAATATTTGTTAAATTCTTTGGATATTTGTTTTTCCAGAATATGTCTGTATTGGTAATATTAATTCCTTTTGGTAAAGAAGTTAAATTTTTTTTTTCCCTTTTATTATCTCATTAATGATGAACCACGTTTTTTTACTATTAGATTTGTGTTTAATGATTTCATTACTGCAGTATTTATTTTTAGTTATTTTAAAAACTAGAAAGTTATTATAGAGTTTTTGCTTCTTTTTGGAACATTTTATCAGTGTTTTATCCATCCATGGATCAGCAACTACTTTTGTCTTATTAAAGCAATTTAGGAATATATCTAAAAAACTATTTAAACCTTAATTAGTTCCCTGACATCTATACCCATTGGACCACGTTTCTTGTTTTAATCTAATTGATAATTTATTAGTATTACTTGTTAAAAGATTACGTTTTTTCAAATTGTAAACTTTTGGTTCACAATCAAACATGAATTTTAAATTTCTTACTTTTAAATATATTGGAAAGTGATTGCTAAAAGCAATCATAAATATCCCTGTTTCAAGTTTTATTTTCAGGTAATTATTAATGAAAATTTTGTAAATTGCCGTTGCCGAAGTTTTTGACACTCGTGTTGACTTAATAATTGCTGACAAGACATTAAATTTAAAAAGCATATCAAAAAAGGATTTTATTTTCGGAAATTTTGAATAAATTAGAGCATCAAGGTCTCCAATAACGTATAGTTTTATTTTCTTTATTTATTTTTTTAATCAATTGTATTTTTGGTAAAAGTTTCAAATGACTTGATTTTACCACTTGGTGCTTGGTGCACGATAAATGCATCAAATTTAAACATTTCGAAGTTTTTTATTTATAATTTTAATAAATAGGCTTTCGTAATTATCATTAAGAAGCAAAGTATGTCTTTTACCTTAAAATCGTGCTTTTTTGAGACATAAAGCCCTAACCCTCCACCTTTTTTTTGAGACATAAAGCCCTGGTTAACTTATAAGTTTATAAAATGGCAAATTATAAATAGAATTTAATTCAAAAGAATTTTCAAAATCATGCCTAGTTTTTGAAAGAGCTATGACGTCGAACGTGTAATTTATAATGTTTAAAAAATCTTTTAGTTTCTCAAAATTTTGCTGATACTTCTAATGCTTATATGTAAAACTGAAAAAGAACAATGATCGTTTATTATTTAAAAATCAAAAGTATCAATATATGGTGTGTCAATGAAGTGCGTTTGAGTTTCTTGAAAAGTATTTATGTTTTCTTCAAGCAGGTTATTAATAAGGTTACCCTCAAAATATTTCAAATTTTCAAAATGCGTAGCCATTTTTAACGAATAATGTAAAAAGAATAAAAAAGTGTTTATAGACAAATATAATGAATTAAATGAAAACCTTTAAAAAGCTTACTCGTTTCCGTTCGTCAAACAACCAGCTGCGTTGCTGGTTTCCATACATCGAGATAACAACTACTTTGTAGATGTTTTCTTTAAGGCGACTTTCCACTCATCCGTTTTTCTACGGGAACGGGATAATAAAGGAAAAAGTAATCACGTGAGCATGCGTAATAAAAGTTTTTATTTGTCTAAAAGAAAACAACGCATGCTCACGTGATTATTTTTCCATTCCCTTTCCCTTTCCCGTGGAAAACGGATGAGTGGAAACTCACCTTTAAATGCATATTCATTAATTTAAGTTCAAATTAAATTTAAATAAAACTTAGTTTATTGTACACGGCTTTAGCGTAATGACTGTTTTGTCGATGAAGCTTGGCCTGCTCAAAATGTTTTTTTGTATTTTTACGAGTCGTAAAACTATAATCTTCTTTTTCGCTCTCGATCTACTTTAGCGAGCCCGACTCATTGGGCTCGTTCAATTTTAATATGTTTCTCCAAGTTGTACGTTAAAGAGCTGCTAAACTTTTTCTTTAATTCTATCCCAATCTTTTTCTTTGCTCGTTTCAATAGCCCCATCGATTCTTAGATTATTTCGCATGTTTCGATCTTCATTATCTACGTTCTTTAGTTTTATTTCGGTATTGTCCGAGGATATTTATATATATACTATATATATATATATATATATATATATATATATATATATATATATATATATATATATATATATATATATATATATATATATCATATATATATATACATATATATATATATATATATATATATATATATATATATATATATATATATATATATATATATATATATATATATATATATATATATATATATATATATATATATATATATGAGGATATTTCTATATATATAGATATATATACTCATCTAATCTCAGATTTGTAATAGCTCCAAACCGAGAGATGTTGTCACAAACCATTTTGAAGAAAATACAATTTCTAACATTTTTATATAAACTTCGTTAAAAGACAATCTACTGGTGTTAAAGAGTATTTACATCTCTTTAATTTTTTTTTTTAATGTTAACATTGAAAAATACTTTAATAACCTTGAAGTATTTTTTTAGAATCATTTTTTCGCTGTCGTGAACTAAAACCTCAAACTGTTGTTCTTCTTCATCAGGTCTTAACGATTGTCTCCACTTTGAAATTTCGTTCTAATAAACATGCATTACATCTCCGTCTAACTTAGTGACTGGAATTGTAAATGAAACATTAGGAGTTAATTTAGATTGAAATAAAAATCTATAAAATGACTTAGAGATAAAAGGTACGATCTTTTTGTTCCAGGTTCGTACATGCTTTGAGCATGAGGAAACCAAATTGTTTGTAAGCTCTTAAGGTCAAAGAACTTAACATAAGATGGATCATCTGGAGCTAAAACCTCCACTAATTTTTTTACTTGTTCCAATTCTTTTGTTACGGATTTCAAATCTTTATTGCCACCTGAACAATTTGATAATAAAGGCAATAGATATCCAGATAATTTTTAAAACTAGGTTCATCGTCGGTATAATTACTAAGAGCTGAAGATGTTAAATGTAAATATTGAGTTAATTGAATGAATCTTTGGAAATCAACGATTGCTGAAAGTTGTAAATTGGATGGTTTTTTAAAGAAGCAACAATCTGATTCACTTTTTCAAAAAGAGTTTTTTTTTTAAGCATTTCCCTATATTTTTCAAGATCATTTTTAAGATAATGTGGAGACTTACACAGGTTGTTATGAATTTTTATAACAACAGCATTACACATTGGACATTGAAATTTTATGGTTTTTTCTGTTTCTGAACTTTTAATAGATGGTTTTCTTAATCAAAGAGTCTCTTCTTTGCTCACTTTCTGTTTAGCTGATCTTAAATGTCTGGGGAAGTCAATATCTTATTACACGTTAGGCATTGGACTTTTTCACAAAGACAACATCTGGCTTTTTTACCTTGGGTTGTTTCTTTAAAGACATCCAATTTTTAAACATATACAACATAGAAAAAAAGTTATTATTTTTTTAAATAAAAAACTTGTCTAAACATTACTATTTTTTAAGTTTCATAAAACAAATACTTTGTTTATTTAAAAATCAAGTTTAATTTTAAATCAAGTCCAATTAGTAATCGACCTTAATCAGTTAAAGGTTGGCATTAAATTGCTGATCTTAAACTGTTTTAAGTCAGCATCAGGTCAGCAAAAAGTTTTTGTTAACAAAAGTTTTAATATAAAAGATAGAAATGAGGTCAACATAAAATAGTTTACATAAATAGATAAAATGTAAAATTTTAAGAAAAAAGTATAAACATATTTTTTCGGCTTCTGAGACCATAGGTTGATTTCTTTTGCCTTTAAAAAATTGGAGAGAAAAACATAAATAAGTTGACACATTTAAACACAGGGTATATGGAAGTATTGAATATCCTTTTTCCCTGAGTATTCCTTGATTTTCTACTGCTTTCAAGCATTTCCCCCCTGATTTTTGGTGATGAAAAGTAAAAGATTTTCCGTTTTAAAGTTGAAGGAAATAATTTCCACAAATGAACCAACATTCCTTAAATACATAGTTACTGTAGTAATCCATTTATCTTAAAATATATCTGTTATATATTCTAAAAGTTATAAAAATACTGTTCAGTATTTTTCGTTCTGTAGTAGTTCTCATTCTAGTATTTCTGAAGTCGTTCTCGTTCTGTACACAAGCTATTATTCTACTGTAGTTAAACACTGTAGTGAGCAACTTTTTTAATAATAAAGAAAAAAAATCAAAATTTGGATACTGCAAAATAATTTGAGGCTAAATATAAAACTTAAAAATATTCTCTGAGTTTTCCCTTATTTTCCAGGTTTTTCCAAAACGACACAAACCCTGTAACATTTTAAATAAAATTTTGAAATGTTAAAAAGTACATTCATATTATATTTATATTAAATCAAAAGTTAC